ACCTCCCCATCAGCCCTCCCTTGAGTGTGACGGGGTGGTGCCCCAAACTCCCAATCGGCCCTACCCTGAGCGTGACTGAGGGTGGCATCACAACTTCCTGATCTGCCCTGCTCTGTGCATGGCAGGGGGATCTCCCCAACCCCCTGATCAGCCCTGCTCTGTGGGTGATAGGGGGGAGCTCCCCAACCCCTTGATCGACCCTGCTCTGTGTGTGACAGTGTACGGAGCCCCAATCCCCCTGATGGGCCCTGCTCTGTTCGTGACAGGGGGCAGCGCCCCAACCCCCGGATTGGCCCTGCTCTGTGCGTGACAGGGGGTGGCGCCGCAACCTCCCCATCGACCCTGCCTTGAGTGTGACAGGGGGTGGTGTCCTAACCCCTCAATCGGCCCTACCCTGAGCGTAACTGGGGGTGGCATATTAACCTCCTGATCCACCCTGCTCTGTGCATGACAGGGGGCGGCACCCCAACTCCTCAATCGGCCCTGCTCTGAGCCCGACCAGGGGTTGCACCTAGGGATTGGGCCTGCCCTCTGCCACCCGGGAGCGGGCCTATGCCAGCAGGTTGTTATCTCCCGAGGGGTCCCAGACTGCGAGAGGGCACAAGTGGGGCTGAGTGACAACCCCCCCTTCCCTGCCAGTGCACAAATTTTTGTGCACTGGTCCTCTAGTCCTATCTAATAAAAGGGTAATATGAAAATTGACCTTAAGAGCAGAACGACTGGGAATCACTGGTCACTATGACATACTGACCACCAGGGGGCAGATGCTCAATGCAGGAGCTGCCCCCTGGTGGTCAGTGCACTCCCACAGGCTGACGGCTGCCAGCACAGTGGTGGTGGCGGGAGCCTCTCCTGCCTCCTTAGCAGCACTAAGGATAACCGACTGCAGCTTAGGCCTGCTACTCGCTGGCAAGTGGACATCCCCTGAGAGCTCCCAGGCTGCCAGGGGGGTGTCTGACTGCCAGCTTAGGCCTGATCCCCCAGGGAGCAGGCTTAAGCCAGTAAGTGGACATTGTCCAAGGGGTCCCAGCCTGTGAGAGGGCACAGGCTGGGCTGAGGGGACCCCTCCCCCCCGAGTGCACAAATATTTGTGCACCAGGCCTCTAGTAATACAAGAGTACTGTGTTTTGCGTACTCACCACTGCAAACAGACTTTTGCCCCACCCTGTATAAGTGAGATTAATACAGTATTACAGTATTTGTCTTTCTCTGTCTAAAACCGGCATTTGGACATCCCTCTCACAATCCGGGACCACTGGCTCCTAACTGCTCACCTGCCTGCCTGCCTGATCACCCCTAAGCACTCTGCCTGCCGGCCTGCTTGCCCCCAACTGCCCCCATCCTGCTGGCCTGCTGGCCCCCAAATGCCACTCCTGCCGGCCTGATCGCCCTCAACTGCCCCCACCCTGATGGCCTGCTCACCCCCCACCCCCTGCCTGCCTGCCCACCAGGCCTGGGCTCTGTGATCAATGGCAGAGCAGAGGCAGGCATTTCCCACCTGGCCTGGGCTCCGCCATTAATCCCCACCCACAGAGAGGCCCTTTCCACTCAGCCTGCGCTCCATGGCTTTGTCCGGGAGGAGGTCCGGAAGGTCGTCTGGAAGGTCTCCTGGTCTAATTAGCATATTACCCTTTTATTAGTATAGATGAGAGTTTAAAGTGAAGATTTTCTTAAGATTATAACATAACAATAATGGTAATCTTTTGCAGATTTCATGCACTGACTATAACTTCACTCTTTTGCAGGTATGATTTTTAATGAACATGATCAGGAGTTGAGAGACTTGGGGTATCAGAAGCATGCCTTCAATCTCCTTATTAGCAACCGCTTGGGCCACCACAGAGATGTGCCAGATACAAGGAATGCAGCGTACGTTCCTTATCGGGTTCTGCTCATCAGTTTGGTGACATAGTACTGTCAGTGCCAGTGTAATAAGCCTGAGGGCAGTGTTTATTTGCACTTAGGCTTTGTTATTCCGGATACTAGATAACTCAAGCCACATTTCCACTCTGATGACACTTGAATCCACGTAGTCTGAGACTGTACCAACAACATTCTAGAACTTGCTGTGTTCCTTTTGAAAGTTAAAATAATGTGGAGAAAGAAGAGAGGGACCAACTGCATGTAATTATATAACCTTCTGAGCATAAATTTTTTTGTTTTGTTTTCTCTAAAATATTTTTATTGATTTCAGAGAGGAAGAGAGAGGGAGAGAGAGAAACATCAATGATGAGAGGGAATCATTGATTGGCTGCCTCCTGCGCGCCCCCTACTAGGGATCAAGCCCTCAACCCAGGCATGTGCCCTTGTCTGGAATCAAACCCGGGACCTTTCAGTCTGCAGGCTGATGCTCTATCCACTGAGCCAGACCAGCTAGGGCCTGAGCATAAGCTTTTTTAAAATGTTAATGTATTCCTTTTTGCCATGAATCCAGTAAGTCAGTGAAGAATTTGACTCCTTGCTCACTTTTATGTTCTCATTATTTGAGTTTTGTCAAAAGCTTTTCATTCATAGTAGGGGCTCAGTGCACAAAATTCGTGCATGCGTTGGGGCGGGGGGGTTGCCCCAGCCTGGCCTGCACGCTCTCACAATCCGGGACATCCCTCTGGCAATCGGGACCACTGGCTCCTAATCGCTCACCTGCCTGACTTCCTGATTGCCTCTAACCACTGGCCTGCCTGCCTGATTACCCCAATCGCTCGCCTGCCTGCCTCATCACCCCTAACCAGTCTGTATGCCTGCCTCATAGCCCTTAACTGCTCACCTGCCTGCCTCATCGCCCCTAACTGCCTCTGCCTCAGCCCCTGCCACCACGGCTTTGTCCGGAAGGAGGTCCGGAATGACGTCCGGAAGGTCATTCGGCTGTCTGGTCTAATTAGCATATTAGGCTTTTATTATTATAGATAGTTGGTCAGTCATTCCACATACAGTTTATTTGAACACCTACTGTTTGTTAGACATTGTATTAGGCCTCAAAAATAAACAGAATAAGACATTTTTGGGTTCACAGGCCTTCAAGTCTAGCAGGGGAGATAAATAAGGAAACAAGTAATTGTAGTAGCATAAGAATGATGGCTGTGATGGAAACTAGTGAAATGGGGCCCCCAAACTGGAGTGGTCAGGGAAAGTTTCTCAATGATGACTGAGCAGTGAAGCAAGAGAGTAGGGGGACAGACTAAGGCATAAAGCTATATAGTTTGTCAAAGGGACCCAAATGTTTCAGTTTAGCTATAATGGAAGAGTAGCAAGAGGCTGGGGTAGGCTGGGCCTAGCCAATGGAAGGGCAAAAGAGCATGGAATTCTGGATTTGATTCTATAAGTTGGTGGGGGTTTTTTATTGTCGTATAAAGCCACCTAACTATTAGGTACTTGCATGGAAGCTCTTCCATTATCTTGATGCATATAGTTTACTCAAATGTTTTTCTATTACTGAGTAAAAAATGAAATTTTTGGATACAAGTTTTATATTTCTATTTTCTTTTCGAGACCTCATTGAGAAGTTGAACATCAACTTACAAGTGCTGCATTAAAAACTTGCAATGAGCCCGGCCATTGTGTCTCAGTGGTTGAGCGTCAACCTATGAACCAGGAGGTCACGGTTTGATTCTCGGTCAGGGCTCATGCCCAGGTTGTGGGCTTAGTCCCCAGTGTGGAGCTTGCAGGAGGCAGATCAATGATTCTCTCTCATCATTGACATTTCTCTCCCTCCCTCTCTCTTCCTCTCTGAAATCAATAAAAATATTTTTTAAAAATACTTGCAATGATTTTATGTAACCTATGTACCAAAAATGAAAAACAACCCAAGTTTTTAAAATGTTTAAAATAAGCAGAGTAGCACTTATCAGAGGGAGAAGTTAATTAACATGTAAAACTCTTGAGTAAGAAACGACATTGTTCCTTAAATGCTTTTTAAAAATGGTTATAGTGCAAGGAAGAAGCAGAATAAGATTGTAGTTAAGGTGTAGTGAATAATAACTTAAAATATTTGAGCCTTTTAAATTGTTGGAATTTTTCTCATTCACTTTTGCAGATGTAAAGATAAGATATACCCTACAGATCTGCCAGTTGCTAGTGTTGTTATTTGTTTCTACAACGAAGCCTTGTCTGCTTTGCTGCGGACTGTGCACAGCGTCCTGGACCGCACACCAGCCCGGCTTCTCCATGAAATCATCCTTGTGGATGACAGCAGCGACTTCGGTAAGGAATGTTGTCACTGGTAATGTAGGATCTAGGCTGTTGTTCCCTGTGGTATTGGTAACATCAGTAAGGCTGACCCTTCAATACGTAGTGAATGGGAGAACCCTATGCATGTAATCGCAATGGAGTCAACCACAAATAAATGCCTGTCCAAAGATTATGGGATAATTTTGAAGAAACTGCATTACCTTTGTAATCTGTTCACCAACTGTGCTACCTAAACTTGGCCCTTGAAATTTTTCCCTTAGCTTACCATTTAAAAAGAGCGAACATAATACTCAATGGGAAAAGGCTAAAAGCATTTTCCTTAAGATTGGGAACAAGTCAAGACTGTCCACTTTCACCACTTTTCTTCAGCTTAGTATTAGAAATCCTAGCCATAGCAACTAGACAAGAGAGAGATAAAAGGCATCCACATTGGAAAAGAAGAAGTAAAACTGTCATTTGCAGAATCCTAAAGATTTCCTCTAAAAATTACTAGCACTGATAAATGAATTGGGTAAAGTAACAGGATATAAAATCACTATTCAGAAGTTGGTTTCATTTTTATACACCAACTAGAGGCCTGGTGCACGGATTTGTGCAGTGGTGTCCCTTGGCCTGGCCTGCAGGGATTGGGCTGAAACTGGCTTTCTGACATCCCCAGAGGGGGTTCCAGATTGCGAGAGGTTGCAGGCCAGGCTGAGGGACCCCACCAGTGCACAATCGGGACTGGGAAAGGACCGCAGGAGGGCTCCAGGGCATGTCCAGCCCGTCTCGGCGAGTCCTGATTGGCCAGACCCCTAGCAGCAAGCTAACCTACCGGTCAGAGCATCTGCCCCCTGGTGGTCAATGCGCGTCATAACACTGGTCAAAAGGTTGAACAAACTGTCAGACACTTAGCATATTAGGCTTTATCCTACTAAAGGCCCAGTGCACGAAATTCGTGCACTTGGGGTGGGAGGTCCTTCAGCCCAGCCTGCACCCTCTTGCAGTCCAGGAGCCCTTGGGGGATATCCAACTGACAGCTTAGATCAGCAGTCAGACATCTTTAGCACTGTCATGGAGGCGGGAGAGGCTCCTGCCACCTGCTGCACTCACCAACTGTAAGCGCATTATTTTGACCCCACAGTAGAATGACCAGTTGCTATGACACACACTGACCACCAGGGGACAGACGCTCAGTGTAGGAGCTGCCCCCTGGTGGTCAGTGCACTCCCACAGGGGGAGTGCTGCTTAGCCAGAAGCTGGCTTACGGCTGGCAAGCGCAGCAGTGGTGCGGGGAGCCTCTCCCACCTCTGTGGCGGTGCTAAGGACCCCTCTGGGGGGAGCAGGCCTAAACCAGCAATCAGACATCCCCCGAGGGGTCTTGGATTGCGAGAGGGCGCAGGACGGGCTGAGGAACCCCTCTCCCCCCAATGCACGAATATCGTGCACTGGGCGTCTAGTATAGGATAATGAACTATCAGAAAGAGAAATTAAGAAAACAATCCTGCCTTAGCTCATTTGTCTCAGTGGCTAAAGCGTTGGCACGTACCTCAGTTGCAGGCTTGATCCCTGTCCCCAGTCAGGGTGTGTGTGAGAGACAGCCAATAGATGTTTCTCTCTAAATATCAATGGGAAAATATTCTCAGGTGAGATTTAACAAAAAAGCCAATAAAAAGAAAACAATTTCATTGGGATTTGTTCCAAGATGGCTGCAGAGTAGGTGAAAGTTACACTTGCCTCCTCCCAGGACCAAATTGGAATTACAAGTAAATTATAGAACAATCAACCTGACTAACTAAAGGAAGACTAGCTGAACAGAAGTCTTATAACTAAGGATATATAGAGGAAGCCATGTCGAGACTGGTGGAAATGGCAGAGACGTGAAAAGGGAAGAGATTGAGTACAGATTGGTAGTCACAAAAGAGTCATGGGAATTTAAAGTTCAGCATAGGGAATATAGTCAGTAATATTGTAATTAAAATGTATGGTGCTGGGTGGATACTTCCAAATATTTAGGGGCTACTTTGTAAAGAATATGGTTATCCACTATGCTGTATACCTTAAACCAGTGGTTCTCAACCTTCTGGGTCTTTAAATATAGTTCCTCATGTTATGACCCAACCATAAAATTATTTTCATTGCTACTTCATAATTGTAATGTTGCTACTGTTATGAATTGTAATGTAAATATCTGATATGCAGGATGGTCTTAGGCGACCCCTGTGAAAGGGTCGTTCGACCGCCAAAGGGGTCGCGACCCACAGGTTGAGAACCGCTGCCTTAAACCAATGCGTAATAATATTGAATGTAAACTGAAAAAAGCACATGGTATCTGTTGCATTTTTGGTGATGTAAAGATTGATCAGTTGGTTTGAGTATTCTTACCTGGATTCACCCACACTGTAAATTTTCCCATTTGTCTTTTACCTAAATTTTATTAAATTCATGTGCTGGTTTTTTAAAAAATCCCATTTACAATTGCATTAAATTTATTCCCCATACCTAGGAATAAATTTAACGAAGGAGGCCTGGCCGCGGTAGCTCAATGGTTAAGCATTGACCTATGAACCAGGAGGTTATGGTTCAAGTCCCTGACAGGGTTGCGGGCTCAATCCCCAGTAGGGGTTGTGCAGGAGGCAGCCGGACAATGATTCTCTCTCATAACATTGCTGGTTGGTGTTTCGATCTTTTCCTCCCTCTCCTTTCCTCAATAAAAATCAATAAAAATTTTAACTAAGGAAGTCAAAGACCTGCACTTGGAAAATTATAAGACGTTGAAGAAGATACAAATACATGGAAGCATATATTATGTTCATGGATGGGAAGAATTAACATCGTTAAAATGTCCATACTAACCAGAGCAATCTATGGATTCAATGCAATCCCCATCAAAATACAAAAGGCAGCCCTGACCGGTTTGGCTCAGTGGATGGAGCATCAGCCTGCGGACTGTGGAGTCCTGGGTTCGAGTTCGGTCAGGGGCATGTACCTTGGTAGCGGGCACATCCCCAGTGGGAGGTGTGCAGGAGGCAGCTAATCGATGTTTCTCTCTCATCGATGTTTCTAACTCTCTCTCTTCCTTCCCCTCTGTAAAAAAAAAAAAAAAAAATCAAAAAATAAAGTAAAATAAAATAAAAAATACAAAAGGCATTCTTTACAGAACTAGAACAAATAAATCTAAAATTTATATGGAACCACCAAAGACCCTGAATAGCCACAGCAACGGAGGAATCATGCTACTGGATATCAAACTATACTACAAGGCTGTAATAATCAAAACAGTATGGTACTGGCATAAAAACAGACACATAGATCAATGGAACAGAATGGAGAGCCCAGAAATAAACTCACATTTATTTGGTCAATTTATGGCAAAGGATAATATGAATATACAATGGGGTAAACACAGTTTAGTCAATAAATGGTGCTGGGAAAATTGGACAGATACATGCAAAAAAAGGGGGGGAACTAGATCGCTTTATAAGAATAAAACTCAAAATGAATTAAAGACATAAATGTAAGACCTGAAACCATAAAACTTCTAGAAGAAAACATTGGCAGTAAATTCTGACGTTGCTTTTAGTAATATACCTCCTAGGGCAAGTCTCCTCGGGCAAGGGAAAGAAGGAAAAATAAATAAACGGGACTACATCAAACTAAGAAGTTTTTGGCACAGCCAAGGAAACCATCAACAAAACAAAACAACCTACTAAGTGGGAGAAGTTACTCGCCCTTGGAAGGTCCTAAACTCATAAAAGGCATATTTACTGCTGCTATTATGTAATTTTCTAATAACCATAGAAGTTATTTCTCAATTATCCTGAAATGGAATAAGATATGATAAATTACTTTGAAACAAAAGACATTTATATCCCATTTTCTTTGTTTTAAATCTGATTTGTATCTGCAGCCAGTGGAACTTTGACTCAATATTCATTTTCAAACATTTTTTATGCAAAGCATTGTACTAGCTTGCTGTCAAAATACAAATAAGTGTATAAGGTAAGTATTTCTCTTGGCTGGTACTCCAACTCCTACCCTTCATTTCTTTCCCTTTTTTTCACCTTATCAGATAAGTTACAATCTTCTTTTAAAATAAAACAGAAGACCCTATAATATTTACTTGACAGTATGTTGTTGGAAGTACCAGATGCAACCTTAGAATAGCTATAAAATGTCTTTGTATGTGTCTCATGTGATTTGAATGATTATGGAACTCTTTATTTTCAGATGACTTGAAAGGAGAATTAGATGAATTTGTCCAAAAACATCTCCCTGGAAAAATTAAATTAATAAGAAATACAAAACGTGAGGGATTAATTCGAGGAAGAATGATAGGAGCAGCTCATGCAACAGGTATAACTTCTCATTGGGTGTTGTGGGTGGGTGCTGAGCGGTTAGGGCTGTCCGTGGTGCCTTTGCTGATTCTGTAGAGATCTGAAAAGTGGCTCTTACGTGGGCATTGCCAGCGGGAGAGACGAGGTGGGAAAGGCCTTTGGGAAAGACCCTGGTGTCCCAAAGCACAAAGTCCAAGGAAGCGAACTCCAGAATCCTCAGGCCTATTTTCTTAAAGACCCCTATTGTTAATTACTGCCCTTCAAATATATTTGCATCTTCTTCACTTAAAGTGGAAGTTCTGTAATTTTTAAAAAACAAAATATATATGTGCCCAAACTGTTTGATAAAAATTTGACTTACAGCTTGGCCAGTGTTGCTCAATGGTTGAGCATTGACCCATGAACCAAGAGGTCCCCAGTTCAATTCCCAGTCAGGGCACATGCCCACATTGTGGGCTCAATCCCCAGTCGGGGGAGTGCAGGAGATGGCCGATTTATGTCATCAGTGTTTCTATCTGTCCCTCTCTATTCCTCTCTAAAATCAATAAAAAACATTTTAAAAATTGACTTACATAATTATAAAGACATTTCCTTTAAAAATTTCCTCTTACTAGTAATTTTCCTAAGTCCATCAAGGATAAAGTCTCATTGGTACCACTATATTTTTAAAAACTTCACAGCTTACACCTATCTTGACCCTTATAAAAAGAAATAACAGGTATCAAATTCAGAATCTTCTGCTGAACATATATCTGGTTAGTCTTCAGTTACATTATATTGATACCATTATATTTCTTCTTAAGGTTGTTACCTCTGTGTAAGGTTGGTGATTCTGATTGTCATTTATGGTCTTGGTAAAAAAAAGTCCTTTTAAAATAAATTCAAGTTAAATGAATTTACTTAAAGATATTAGGTACATAATACTGCATGTATGCATGGGTATGGCCCCCAAAAATCATGAAGGTAATTTATTTAGGTACTGCTGCCAGTTCAGTCGGATGATGTATTTATGTGGCATAAAATATAACTGCTATCCTCCCAGCCCACT